AAGAAATACTTATATATGAATGAATTAATTACTTAATGAATGAGGGAGTTCAAAGCTGAGAATGTTCATCAACTCTGGGCACAGACCTGCATGAAGTTGGTTGAGAGAAGAGAAGGAGGGAACAGGGAGATGCCAAGCCAGAGCCAAGAAAGTTGTTTTGCTTTGGAATATATTATTTTTGCAGGTTGCTATAGTTACCGCTGTGAAATTAAAAATTAAAACCTTGTGAAAGAGAGAGGGTTGACTGAGATGAGGCAGTTCCTTGACAGGCTGAGTTATTTATCTTTTTCCCATGTAACATCTGGTTATGTGCTTGCAAATTTATTTTTAATTCTGAGCTCTAAAAAGGATTTCGCGGTGATGCAAGGTGCCCGGATGCACTGCTTGGGAGGGGATGGTGAAGTCGGTGGTATCCCGGGACGATGGGTGACCCCCAGCTTGTCCCCAGACCCTTGCTGCACAACCTCTAGGAACTAGGGGGCGGCTGGAAGGCGTTCCGGACCCCCTGCCAATCAAGCAGCAGCCGTAACCATGGTTCCCAGATGCAGAGCCAGGATGGGGGCTGCGCTCACGCTGGTTCCTGTGGTTGTTTGAGCATGAGGACAACACGGCTGGGGGTCGAGGGAAGCTGTGAGGTTCTCTCTCTTCAGTCTGCACCGAACCCGTGCAGCCCCATGTGACTCCTAGGAGCTTCCTGCACCCCCAGAGTGGCAATGAGTAGTTTCTTGAAGACAATGGCCGGAGTTAGAAGTGGGATCTGGACACAGCCCAGTCATTGCTGCTGTGTGACCTTGGGGTACCCCCTTCCCTCCCTGGGCCCTCTTCCCCCAGTTCTTCAGGGAGGGGTTAGAGTGTGGGATAACCCTGCAGGCCCCTATTCCAGGAGTCAAAGTGAGTCTGAGGCTTCGTTTGTACCTATTTTTTGCTTCTGCCTGACTGTCCCAAGTGGAAGGAAGATCGGGGCCTAGGCAGGCTGTCCTGAGGCCCCCTTTCCTTGCCAGGCTTCCTCCTGCTCCAGACCTTAATTCCTCTGCCTAGAACTCTCTTTTCCCAGAAGTTCAGGGCTCCTTCCCCCACCTACTCAGGTCTCTGCTCAAAGGTCAACTTCTCAGCAAAGCCTCCCCACCTCCCTGTAGCACCCATCACACCTGTGGGTAAGTGTACTGCTCCCATCTGTCTGTCTGCTGTTTGCTTTTTCTCCTAGGATTAAACTCCAAGAAGGCAGGGGACTATCTGTCTTGGTCACAGCAGGGCCTGGCACACTGTGGGATTTAACAAATATTTGTCAAGTAAATGGATGAATGAATGAATGGATGAATGACTGAATGAATGAAGAAGACAGCTATTGGTCCCTGCCATATGCCAGACTAGGTAAGGACAAGTTAGGATAGGTTAGAACTGAGGGGGAAGTAGATGAGACAAAAAAAAATCATAAGTTAGGAAAAAAGAATGTCAAAGGTAACTTCGAGGCAGGAAATAAATTCCCTCAAAATGACTGTGTGTGTGTGTGTGTGTGTTTATCATGGGGAGATTCTTTTCTGCTGTGGTAAAATTATCATCCAGGGTGGGAGATAGAAAATAATTGTATAGATAAAGCCTAAATTATCTTATAATAACAAAAGCAATAAACTACCATGTGGCAAGTCCTCCTTATATATAGAACACAGAGCTCTGGACAGATTAACTCCAATCTTCACAAAAGCCCCTCTGTGAGAATAAGGACTTGTCTGTTATTTTTGCCGCTGTATCCCAGCCCCTGGTGCATATTAGGGGCCCCAAACTCACTTAGGGAATGAACCTCCATTTTATATTCAAGGTGCCTGATCAGAAAGGGCGAGTGATTTGTCCAATGACACACAGTGACAATCTTTGACTCTGTCCACATCGAGAAGAGGGATCTTCTTCCTACCTGTTCTCTTTCCCCTTCCCAATCTTTACAACTTGTCTGACACTCTGCATAGCTCAGAGTTTGAAGACCTTGGGCTGGATGCAATGAAAATCAGGCCAAGGGGCTCTAGTATCTAAATTGCAACTTAGCCTGTTTCCCGTGTCTCTGAAGCCTCCTGGCTCATTGTCATCCTCCCCTGTGCCTGACGGGGCTAGTGTGGGAGGACCAGAGAACATTTTGTGGGTAGACAGATTCCAAACTTCTTGACAGGTCTGGACTCATTACCCAGGCTCCCCCATGGGTGAGCTCCAAAAAGCATGGCTGAAGCCCTGGGCCTGCGTGTTCAGCGGGGATGAATAATTAAAGAACCATCAGGCGCCAACAGCTTGACGAGGGGGTTGCTGTGTAGCTGGCAACACCACATCCCAGCCCAAGTCTGTTTTTGGGTAGAGGCCTTTATTTCTGACGGCTGCTTCTGTGCTCCCAGGGCAACGGATCTGCAGCAGAGGAGCCTGATCTGATTGTGCTAGTGGACAGAGGGCATCCCTGGGGCAGGACAACGGCAGCCAGACAATCAAGGGTCCAGCCAGCGTTGCCTACTGGACATGGCCGGGGGTGCTGAGGGAAGGAGGTCTCTTTTTAGTTCCTATTGGGTGTCTTTTTTTTCTTCTGCAAAATGGGGAAATGTCTTCCACTTGGCAGGGCTGTTGAGGCACTGAAGTCGGGTAATGTGAACTGTGAAGTGCCGTGTAAGGGTTGAGAGAGATGCATCCACTCACTTGCTCACCGTCTGCCTCCCTGGCCAAGATGGGAGTGTGGCTGGAAGGACCTCAGGGGCTTTAGTCACCTGTGCTCACCTGGAACTTGGCAGCCCTCCACAAATATCTGCTTAACAGTCAGACGCAGGATGGGTGCATTTGGTAACTGTGGGCCAAATCAAATGTGGTGCCTGCAGGTCCAATTTGCTTCAACTATGGATTTTCTTGGCAGGTGAACTCAGGGCAGGAGCTCCCCTGCCATCTCTCACAATTCTCAAATGGGTTCACATCTGTTGGTCTGGCGGCTGGTGACAATGTGGCCTGACAAATAATTACTCAGGAACCTTTTCTGAGCCCCAGCCCAGGCCTCATGTGCATTTTGGGAGAGGTAGAAAGAAGAAAGTGTGACCCCTGGGAGGCCATGTGATTCCACAGAGGGAGCATGGGCTTAAGGCAGGCATTCCTCAGGTCCCATCTCCTTCCCACCACTAGGAAAGTTAAGAATGCACCCACAGCTATAAATAACAGAAAGTTTGCTACTGAAGCATACCTAGTCGGGACTTACTGCCTTACATGGCAGGATGTGGTGTTGCCAGCTACACCACAGGGTAAGCCAAGGGGACTAATGTGGTTCTTACTGATGCCTCTGGGGACCTGGTGTCCTTACCATCTTTAGTGTGTAGCCCTTGTCCTCATCCTTGGTGCGTTATAGTTGCAAAGTGACTGCAAGGACTCAGGCATTGCATCTCTGTCCCATGTTGCAAGAAGAGAAATAGACAAGTGTGACCAAGATGTGAGGTGTGTCATTCCTGCTCCACCAAGTACCACCTGTGTCTTCTCAGGCAGGTTCTGTAACCTCCATGTGCCTCAGTTTCCTCATCTTCGAAAGAGGGATCATGGCCTTTCTTCATGGACCTGTTTTATGAGGACAAAATGAGTTCATTCATGTGAAAATCTTAGAATTATGTCTACCCTATGGTAAGCATTCAAAAAAAAAATGTAGCTTTTAAATTCTTGTTATTATTCTAGGGATAAAATTTTGACACCAGTGAGAACAATTAGACCCCAAACATCTGAGGGGGCCTCCAGTTCTGTCTCAACCTGCTGTGTAATTTTGGATAAGATGCTGCCCCTCTCTGGGTTGGAGTCAATACAATGATTCTGTACAATGAAGATCTGGAACCCCAGGGTCTCTACAGTTCTCCCCAAATGGGATTCAGGATCCTAGCAGATAGTCATAGTCAGCTGGCTGGTGATTCTCCCTTCCCAGTGAGTGTGACTTGTTATGAAGGGGAGCAGGGTCTTGGGGAAGGGAAATTTTGACAAATTTGGGGGCTCTTCTAGGTTTGCTAATTCTAGATCCCTCCTTCCCAGACTTGGTGTCTGGCCCTGGGTGGGTGGCGTCTCTGTCTCAGGGAGACCTGAGTTTCCCCACTCCCACCTCCAGCCTCCACTTTCTCTCGTTGGCCACACTTGCTCTTGGTTCCTGCCACCCTGCCTTCCTTCTTTAGAAGTCACTTCCTCTTGTTGCTATCCCAGCAGGCATACACTTTGCTGTGAAGTCAGTTTCCTGGAGGGGAAGGGCCCTGCAATGGGGAAGGGGTGGTGAGGAGGTTCCTTGGGCCTCTCTGTGACCTAGTATTGTGCTTTTTTTCCCTTGAGAAAGGGGTTAAGAAACCTCTCTACCCTCCTGAAAAAAAGTGTTTCTTTCTTGGTTGGTGACCTCAGCAAGTTCCCACTACTTGTTGGGCCTTGGTTTCCTCCTTGGTGAAATATGGCAGCCAGATGCCACAGTTTTGAGGGAACTAAGCAGACTGGGGCCTCTGAGTGGAAGGTCTGTGATGGCAAAGGCTGTGCTTGTCATACCAGCCCCTCAGACCCCAGATGTGGTGTCAAGACTTGTGGGGAAGGGGCAGCTTTTTATTTATTTATTTATTTATTTTTATTTATACAACAACCGGGGTACAGGCCAGATGTTCAGGAGGGTGAGAAGACCCACCAGAGACAGAGCAGGGAGAAGAACAGGCAGACTGATGAAATACACTACTGAGGGGTGCAGCGGGCATGACAGGAGAGGTCTGCTGCGCCATGTGGGAGACTCGCTGGCCGGCGGGGATGGAGCTGGAGCTGCAGAGGCTGGACAACTTCATAGCATGGTGCTCAACCGCCTGCGCCACTAGGGGAGGCCCGAAAGGGGCAGCTTTAACAAGGTCCCATGCCTCAGCCCCTGCCTCCTCGGGCAGCAGTTTCTCCTTGGTCTCCTTGGCATCTGTGGAAACTCTGGTTGGAAGACAGGACTCCGAGGTTAAAAGATGGGGTTTTCTAAACTAATGTTTTATTAACTTTTGTTCCAGGCACTCTGCTAAATGTTTCACCTGTTTTAATTTGTGCACTCCCAAAGCAATGCTATGAGGTAAGTCCTACGGCTAGTTCTGTTTTAAAGACAAGGATAATGAGCAAAGGGAAGTTTAGTATTTTTGCCCAGGGCCACACAGCAAAGTAAATAGGGCTTAAACCCTGGCAGCCTCACTCTCACTACTGTTTTCTCTTAGAAAACCACTGATTCAGCTCCTCTTTCTGCTTCCCAGCCTGGTACTGAAATCCTGCTACAACATTTCTCAACTTACACACATTCAGGGCTGGGGCGCTCCCTACCTCCCTGAGGACCATGGTTGCCTGCACTAACTTGAAAATTCTTCCCCAAGTTTGTGAATTCCTGAACAAGTCCTCAGGGCTCAAAAGGGTTTCCTGGGAAACGGAAGCTTGCTCAGCCCTCAGGGACCTGGTGCGGTCTGGATCATAGATGGAGAGATTTAGAAGAAGCCAATGAGCCTCATGTTTTGGGTCACAGGATAAGACATCAGAATGGGGGTTCAGAGCATGCTCTGGAATTATTGCCTCCCTGAACTTCAATCCTGTCTTCTGCAGGATGGCACTTGTAATACCACTGCCTGGTTGATGTAAACAAGAAATCCACGTCATTAAAGCAATGTTAACTGGTGCTTGGTATCATCATCATCCTTACCTACGAAGTCCATCTTGTCCCTGCACATTTTAGGAATGACTTGGTCCGTGGCTTGATCATAGAACTGATGAGGTCAGGAACTTGATTCTTGGGTCCTCTTTGGCATAGAGAAGAATATAAGTAGGCTCTTCCTTACAGCTTGAGCTGAGCAGTGGCAGATTAAGTAGAGGTTCATCATGCCAAGTGAGAGGCTATTGGTCAGAGGCTGGCCCAGTGCGGGGGAGAGGCTGCCTTGTGGGCACATGGTGGTGGGAGAGGCAGGAAGTTACTTCTACGAACACAGCATCGATGGGGTAGCCAGGTGTTCAAATGCAAACATCGCTCTGTGTTTGGCTGGCAGTTTCTATGCTACATTGGAGTGTGAAGACAGTTTGGCTGGGTGTAGGCTAGACTGGGCAATCGTTCTAGACTTTCTGGAATATTTTAGGTGGTTTAGGGACACAAGAGGCAGGATACCTCAGTGAAAACAAGGACTGGGGAAGCACTTGCCACCAGTGTGAACACTCTGGGTCCGTTCTAGAAGACAGAGAAGTGGTTAAAGAACTAAATGTGATGATTCAGCTGAGGAGTTAGAAAAGTTGCCAACTTTTTGTCCTAACCATATTGATAAATTTGACACCTAATTCCAGTTTGCTGCTCTCTCTTAAAAAATCAGAACGAGGGCCTCCCTGGTGGCGCACGGGGTTGAGATGAAACCTGTGAAGCTGTCTGCAGCCTCTGTAGCACAAGTTTGATCCCCGGCCAGCCAGGGAGCGACTCACATGGCGCAGCAGACCTCTCCTGTCTACCCCCTCTGCTCCCCTCAGCAGTGTATTTCAGTCAGTCTGCCTGTTCTGTTCCCCACTCTGGATCTGGTGAATCCTCTCACCTCCCACACCTCTGGCCTGTACCCCAGCTCTTGTATGCATAAATAAATAAATCCTTAAAAAAAAATCAGAACGATCCTACATCCTTGACCTGTTTTCTCAAGAGGCCAAGCCAGGTATCTCGGACTGTTCCCCACACCACCACCCCCGTCCCCAACTGAGTGGAGGAGCATGGACTCTGTAATCTGTCAATCCACCCCCTGCCCACAGGCAGGTCAGAGGTCAGCTGGTCTAGCTTTCTGCCCTAACAATCCTGCCCCAGGCCTTACTACCTGCTGAGAGATCCCCTGGAGAGGAAAATTCCCCACCCCTGGAGGTGTTTGCTCAGGGCTGCTTGAGGATGAATATTTCCTTTCATAATGTTGCTGATCATTTTTCCCTCCAGGCAGGAGAAGAGGCTCTCCCAAGCTTCTTGCAGCTGTGGTGCCCTGTGGGCTCTTAATCAATGTTACATGACAATTAATAATACATCCTCCTGCTCCGACTCTATCACTCCATGCAAACTGCTCCCTCTGACAACCTGGCAAGATTTTGGCCAGATGAAGCCGAAATCAAAGGCCTGAAATTAGAGCTGAAAACTTTCCCCCTAATCACTTCTGGGAGGGAGTCAGGAGAGCATATCCCCTGCCTGTTGTGGTGCTGAGTAAGGGTCTCATTTTACCCTCATTATGACTCCATTGGATGACCAGCCCTGACTTAGAAATGAAGACAGGCCTGGGGGCACCCACTGACTTATGGCTGGGCATCAGTGTGACTCAGTAGGTGTGCAGAGAATCAACATCTCTAACAAGATCCCAGTGCAGCTGACCCTGCTGCTAGCCCAGGGCTCCACTTTGAGAACAACTGATTTATTTAACTAATACTTATCCAGCACAGGGAATGTGATGATGAATGCTGCAGATGTAGTCCCTGCCCTCTTTTTTGTGAAATCCACCCGTTGCAGCACATGGTGGCTAGGGAAGAAGGTTCTAGAACCAGACATGCTTGATTCCAGATCTGGGGCTGTGGGTGACATGCTCTGATTCAGGGCAGTTTACCTGACTTTTTTGAGCCTCTGTCAGCAGCTATTTAATGGTAATTGTGTCATTAATATTGTTGTTAGGTCTCTGATCTAGGCTGTGGAACAAGGTCCCCAGGGAGTTGAGATCAATTAATTTATTCACTCATTCATTCAACACTTGTGTCTTGAACACCAGCTGTTGGAAACCCCAAGAAGAGCCCCAAAAATAATCTCCCTACTCTCATGGAATCCACTTTCTTGCCATAAGCAAATCCATATATAAGTCAGAGAGGTGATAAGTGCTATGAAGAGAAACAAAACAGGGCATGGCAGAGATGTTGGGTCTGAGAGATACGGACAGGCTATTTTTTTTTTTTTGGGTAGTCAGCTGAGGCCCTTCTGATAAGATGACCTTGAACAGAAAGCTGACCAGGGAGTTACAAGCCAATAGGTGTCTGCAGGGATGGTGTTCCAGGCTGATGGCACAGTGAGTGCAAAGGGCACGTGAAGACCAAGGTCTACATATGCATCCCACCTGGACACCTAATGGAGATGCATCCAGGGGCTCTTGACCTTTGTGCTTTGTGGGCTCCCAGCTGTCTGCATCTCTCTTCCCCAGCCCTCTCCTTCCCACCAAGGACTGGCCATCTCTTGTACCCCCAGGGTTGCCTAGCTGCCACAGGCCACTACCTCTCTAGGCTCCACTTGACTCACCTGCAAAGTAGGAAACATGATCTCCTTCTACCTCAGGTTGTGCTGCGGGTCAGAGACTCCAGGCTGTGAAGTTACTTTGCAAGATGGGTGCTTGGTAGGTGCTCAATGAATGGTGGACTTCACTGTTTCCTCCTCTCCCTCCTCCCTTCTCTGCTCAGCTTAGAGAGACCCAGGAATCCAGGTGGGAGCTCAGACCCAGAATTCTCACTTAGCCAGGGAGTGTGTCTCATTTGCATAGATTTGCATAAGGCCTGGAATGGTGTATATCTCTTTTTGCCTTTAGTTCCTGTTAGCTCACGTCACCATTTAAAAATAGGGTGTTGATCTTCCCCTTTCCCACCACTCCCTTTGCCTGTTGGAAGAATTTCAAGCTATTAATCAAATCTGCCAGGTTTGGGAGCTGTTTTTATTTGGGCCTAGTGCAGAAGGGGGTCAGCCACTCTAGGAAGCTGTTGATTATCTGCTTTAGTGGAGGGGAGATGACAGCCATGATCTCACACAGTGGAGGGTCCTAAAAGCTTTAAAGAGAAAAGTCAATTTTGTTCTTTCTGCCTACAAAAGTAGAACATATAGACAAAATGGGAAAATACAGAACAGCAGGAAAAATTTCCCCCAAAAGTACCCATAATAACTCCAACCAGGCACAATCGCTGCTAACATATTAGTATATTTCTTTCCTGGTTTATTTTTTTCCCCATGCAATTTTTATATAGCTGAGATCATACCATATATATATAAAATGTTGCAGCTGGCTTTTCCCATTAACAAATATCATCATTTCCTTTTGTTATAACAACTTTTGTAAACATTTTTCATGTTCATGTAATATTCCATCACACCATCTCTTAATCCTTCTCCCGTTGGGTTTATTTCTCAAGAGAGAGCCCAGAAATGAGGCAACTAGAATGGAAGGGGAAGATAAGCTTAAGGCTCCGGATAGATTTTTGTTAACCTCAGTTGGTATCTGTATTTGAGAATGTACCTTTGTGGTGGTGTTGCTACAGGACTCTGAAATCAGTCCCAGAGCACCCCCACATACCCTGCAATGAAGGTAGGTGATGCAGTGACCCTCTTCTGCAGCCTGCTCCTCCACAAGTCTCTCCTGGCACCCCACTCAACATGGGGGACCCCCAACTTTCTGCTGGAGTGGATGTGAAGGGTTAGATCATCTGCTTGGTCACAGACATGTCTGGGATAGAATGTGTTTAGGAAAATACTCAGTCAATGAAATTTGACTATATCTCCAAGGTTGTGTGTTTCTGCTCCTCTAAGTTCAAGTTTGCAAAAAAAAAAAAAAAATGAATGCCTTTGGCTCAAATAAATATTAAATTCTAATTTTTATTTAATAGAACAGTCTAGGGCATGTGCAACTACCCAACAATACTGTCTAGACTGCAGTCTCCATTTTTTTGTTCTGCCATCACTGGCTTAGTGGCATTTGTTTTCATAGTTGCTTCCTCATGATTTCAAAATGATTGCCACACCTTTAAGACTCAAACCCTCAGTCTAGGTTTAAAAAAAGGAATGGTAACCAGGAAAAGGGGTGTGCCAGTCACATCTATTCTTTATATCAGAAAGGCAAAAGCTTTTCTAGAAGTCCCATCTAGCAGACTTTTGCTCGAATCTGATTAGCCAGGATCAGGTCACAAAGCCATTTCTGAACCAATTGTTAGTGAAGAGCAATAAGGCCATATGGCTTTGAACCACACAAGATTCACCTCCAGGGCTCAGGTAGGGGCCTACCCACTTTGATCAGTGGATTACTGGTGCCATGGAACAAATCAAAATTTCCTGAGCAGGGAAAAATGGCATGGGGTGCGTGGGATGAGTGGTACAAGGCAGAGGACAATGCCATAGGCTTTTATTTTTTTTTTAAAGATTTATTTATGCATACGAGAGCTGGGTTACAGGCCAGAGGTGTTGGGGGGGGGGTGAGAGGATTCACCAGAGACAAAGTGGGGAACAGAAAAGGCAGAGAGGCCAGTGTACAAAGTACACTGCTGAGGGGAGCAGCGGGCAAGTCAGGAGAGGTCTGCTGCACCTTGTGGGGTGCTCCCTAGCTGGCCAGGGATCGAACTCATGCTGCAGAGACTGCAGATTGCTTCATACATAGGCTTTTTAGGAAATGTGGTTTCATTTCCTGGGGTCAGCTGTCATCGGCTGATGCCATCTCTCTTGCTCCATGACTGGCCCAGGGATGAGCACAGAGTCTGAATAGAGCCAAGACACCCAGTTGGAAGAACAAGATTAAGCAAAAGTTGACAAACTTTTTTTTTTGCTTGAGTAGTTTCCTTTATGTGCTAATAAATAATGTGAAGCTTCATAAAGGGAGGGATGTCACATAGCATATCCTCAGCACACTGTCTCCGGAATCCTTTTATCATGGGACATCACTGTGAAATGCTGACAAGCGAA